ATTCTGCTTTGAGCTGACCAACCGCTGGCTTTTGTTTTGATTTGACCACCAACTGAAAAATTCTGCTTTGAGTTGACCAACGACTTACTTCTGTTTTGAGTTCACCAACTGCAAATTCTGCTGCGAGTTGACCATTCGCTAGCTTCAGCTTTGACCTACAGCTACATTTTCTGCTTTTCACAAACAGCAAGCTTTTCCTTTTGACCGATTGCTAGTCATTGCTTCTGGTCAATTGCTAGTTTCTGCTTTAGACCAACTGCTAGCTTCAGCTTTTTACCTTAAATGTCATCTAAACAATGTTACAGTCAACGATTTGTAGTTCTATATATTAAGTACGTGAGATTTTTTTGTGCCGAAAGGTTAAAGTGTACCTCTGGCTCGGACGGAATTTTCCTCGTCAAACATTCTGATTGGTTGAAATATAGGTGGCGAAGAAATGACCTAATAAGGGGATTAATATTAATACGGACAAGAGCCAAGTTGACGTATTGTAAATTAGTTGTTGGCTAGATGCTATCAGAAAGCTACTTACATTATCGAATGTATACCCGTTATATCCACTTTAACCAGAAACCTACCATACAATCTCTGTTTCAAATTGATATGCAAATTATAGAATGTAACTATGGAAGTGAACTCTCCAAACTTAACAAAATTATCGATATTAATCTGCTGATTTGTATATATAAGCATGTTTCTTTTTATCTTTTATTATAATCTATCTCTATCATTCTGGAACAGAAAAGTGAAGACCAGAAAATATGTGGAGATGGTCTTGAACATATTTTGCGTGAAATGACATCAATATTTGCCGTTAAAACTTTGTTGTCTGTTCGTCTTAATACATTGTGTTTTGATCGGCATTGCTAAAATAATCATCAATAAAGCTTGTCACCACAAAAAATACATACATCTCGAATAAACACACAAATAAAATCCCATTCTGTAGAACAGAACGCCCTAGCATGACTTCTGATGTAGGAGAACAACATTTAAAAGCTGTTCTGTAACTGGCTAGCTTCACGACATTTCAACACAAAATGTCTATATGGAATATTTCTTGTCAAATAAAATACCGCACTTCAAAATAAAAATTGATATTGAAGCACAGCTTTCCTAAGACTAAAACTAATGTTTACGTGTATCTGTTAATGCATGTTTTGAAAATTATTTTGATATGAAACTAAGAAGGCTTTGAAGAATTAAAAAAAAAAACCGGTTTATTTTTTCAATAAATTTTGGAGATCGAGTTCGGCTACAATTTTACAATTTACAATGCAACATGCGAAACAACATTTATTAGATAACGCCGTTTACCAAACAATCTCATTGGTTGAAACATCATCACGTGCAGGTCGGTGATTTGTGATATTAACTCGGTGTTTATTTTTTTGGAAACATCAGGTAGTTATTCTCTTATGATGTCACTTCAATAATAACGTTACGTTGTTCTCAGCAGTACTTTTCTTTTGACAATTTTCTAACGCTTCACCTTAAAATAAATCTTAATTTCATATCTGATATAACAATTAAGGACCAGTAAATATGTGGTTAAACGGATCTGAAAAAGTTATATTAACCTCGAACTTAGTCTCGGTTAACATCGCTTTCTCATGTTTATATAACCATATATTCACCTCAATAACAGTCCGTAGTTGATCAACACAATTAAAATACATACTATTTGATGGGGTTGGAGAGTCAGTAATTGGGCCCTTCTAGCATAAGGTTAATGTTTTACAAATTATATTTGGAACTTTAAAGAGCAATTATTTTACAAAAAAATGTAGGCTAGCCACGGACTCCATGTGAAGAACCTATTAGGTTTCAGTCAGAGAGAATCATTTCGATTTATTTATTGAAAACTTTCTTGAGTCCATGACGTTACCTGTATTGGGTTTGAACTTCACAGGGACTAGGCGCATATATACCACATAGTATAACACTGTCTTATGCACGAAATGTATTTATATAAGCAATGTGTCGGGTCCCTATGGTTGTCGTGAATTCCTAAGTGCTTGTGGGTGGATCTGAAGTGTTGAAATATGAAATCAATATGTTTGCAGTAACAACGTGTAAAATCAAAGATAGCCGAAAAGGTCCTTTAAATGACATACGACCGTAGAATTCGATTATTTGTTTTTAGTCATGGTGTTTAAAAAGTTGTAATTTCAAATATTGTCTGTGTGAGCAATTCACATTTGGAACCCGATCGTAGCCGATATTTAAATTCCTTATTATTTTACAGTGTTACAGTTAAACTTCGTGGGTTTCACACGGTTCCTTTGTTTTACATCGAGTCGAGACATGTTTAAATCGGTTTACAATGTTCCTTGTTTCTCTGTATTGATTTTTCTTTCCCCCTTTTTTGTTTGATAATGATTTTGGTTTTTACAATTGATATTTTAAGGCCGATCTTTTAAACTTACAAATGTTCATTTGTAAGATATAGCTTTGATACTATATTTAATCAATGCTGTCTGTTTTATGTCAATTTGATCATTTACAAAAAAACAAAAAGAAATCCAATTAATTACTTTTTGGATACAGTCAGGCTGTTTCAATCTATTAAAAAAAAATCAACTAAATAAATTAACTTTTTCAATATTCATGGTGGTATTTCTTATTGGTTCAGAAGTAAAACGATTTCGGGGGGAAATGATTTAAGATGGTGCAATTTCAATCCGCTTTATCTGGATTTTATTACTATTCAACCTCATGGAATTCTTGAGAAAATCACCGACACGGTTAATATCTAGAAATAAATCAAAGCTAACTAGCCGCAGTATAGGACGTTCGACAAAGTTGCACCCCAGTGCTCTATTGCACATCTTGTGGGATATCTAAACAAGTTTTTGAAAGAATTGTATAGATATTGAATGTTTCGGGGCACCCCGAGGTAAAAGTATTGATTTTCCTCGTCAAATTCAGTTTTATTTGTTTGTATGTGAAATAAAAATTAATAAAAAGAAATTGGCAAGCCGCCACTGTTCAACCAAAAAATGCATCTGCACTAAGAACGGTTAGAACATAAAAGCCAGAATGACAGAGGTCCGCGTACCTGTACTTTTTACCTATATATATATATGTATTTACAGTTCAAACATCACAGATGTTAACACGAAAAAGGTTAGTCGATTTTCTTTCAAAATCGAAATCTACATCCTAAGTCTGTTACGTACGATGAGCTCAGAATTCCCCGATACGGAGTGTTCTGCATAGAAAATATTGCATCTTATGTTTCAGAGTTAAAAATATAATCTACTTACCGAATGTAGACCTAGACCAATTTTTCAAAAAGAATGGTTAGCTTAATGAGGAAACATATAAATGATTTATTTCTCTATTGTCCTCGAGTATACATATTCATGGATTATGTTTTCTAATGACTTGAAATGTTCTTTTTTACGCTTTTGGAAATATCATTGATGTCAATTAATTGTCCATTTGTCATTTAGAAACCAAGAAGGGCAACAACTATGCACTGTCGTTGAGTAAAAGTTAACAATACAATTTTATTTAAAGTGTTCGCGATCCTCACCGGTGAGATATGTACATGTACCATTAAGCTAATATAGATTAGAAATTTGTGTAATGGAAAATGTACGCATGATTGACAGTTTACAAAGTGTATTGGATTATGATTGAACTACATAGATACATACAAACAGTTGTTATGGGTATGTATATACAAGTAATTACACCTGGAATTACTGATCCTGTTAAGGATGTGTGCTACCTAAAGTTCAAATCGTGCACGAGCTATCTCCCTTGATATATTTAACGTTTACCATTCAGAATTGTAATCGCGATGGACTAGTTCAGAAAGTCTCGTTGGACTGGATATTCAATCACGTTAGTGTGGTGGCTGATTTCGGCCATCTCGGGTTGTCGCATTAGCGGGGGCGACAACGCGACAATGCGACAGACAAAAGATACCACGCCAACGCGACAAAATTAAGGCGACAACGCTAAAGAAAAAATCTGCCGCCTTGTTGGTGGTGGGGTACACTGCCGCCTTGTTGGTGGTGGGGTACACTGCCGCCTTGTTGGTGGTGGGGTACACTGCCGCCTTGTTGGTGGTGGGGTACACTGCCGCCTTGTTGGTGGTGGGGTACACTGCCGCCTTGTTGGTGGTGGGGTACACTGCCGCCTTGTTGGTGGTGGGGTACACTGCCGCCTTGTTGGTGGTGGGGTACACTGCCGCCTTGTTGGTGGTGGGGTACACTGCCGCCTTGTTGGTGGTGGGGTACACTGCCGCCTTGTTGGTGGTGGGGTACACTGCCGCCTTGTTGGTGGTGGGGTACACTGCCGCCTTGTTGGTGGTGGGGTACACTGCCGCCTTGTTGGTGGTGGGGTACACTGCCGCCTTGTTGGTGGTGGGGTACACTGCCGCCTTGTTGGTGGTGGGGTACACTGCCGCCTTGTTGGTGGTGGGGTACACTGCCGCCTTGTTGGTGGTGGGGTACACTGCCGCCTTGTTGGTGGTGGGGTACACTGCCGCCTTGTTGGTGGTGGGGTACACTGCCGCCTTGTTGGTGGTGGGGTACACTGCCGCCTTGTTGGTGGTGGGGTACACTGCCGCCTTGTTGGTGGTTGGGTACACTGCCGCCTTGTTGGTGGTGGGGTACACTGCCGCCTTGTTGGTGGGGTACACTGCCGCCTTGTTGGTAGTGGGGTACAGTGTCGCATTGACGCGTTCATTTTGTTGCCTTGTTGCGTTGGCGGGAAGGCGACAACGCGCGATGGCCGAAATCAGCCACCATACGTTAAAGTGGATATTTTTCTTTGTATACATTTGACCTGTATCTCGTTGTCTCCGCGAGCAGCTCAATATTTTGTAATCCAAAAGACACAGAGATTAGAAACTTAGCCTACCTGCCCTTGTATTCTAGATTCTCCACCTGATAATTCTTCACAATACAGAAGCTTAGTGGGGATTAGACGCATTAAATGATGTCCATATCTCACGATCCTAAATATTGACTTTTCTATTGCAGGAACCACAGTACATATACGTGCCCAAGACCCGTCCAAAGCCGGTTGTCGTACATACCGAACACACCGGACGCGCAGGGTACTTGGTGTCCCAAAGGAGAAAGTCCTTGACGAGTTCCATGCCACTCAGGGTCATTGAGTACGATAACAACAGGAGTCTTAGGGACAAATATATTTACGTCCGGCCAAGGAGTGCAGTCGGACGCAGCAAACGGTCATTTGTACCTATGGGATACGAAATGTACATGGAGCGACCATACACAATACCTGATTATCCAAGATGAATGTTTTAATAGTCTAGAGTTACCCTCTTCGCTGCTTTTCTCTCCGCTATGTGGTGTAGTGTAAAGGAGACACCTAGCGATGTATGCAATTAAGTATCTGCCTCAAAAACTATCAATAAACCTTTCGCTTAAGCATTCGATCTTTGGACGTCACATGGTATTGTAAACCGTGCGCATGATCGGGAATTGTGTTAAAACTTAGTCACGTGATCATTAGTTACGCATATATGATCATTAAAACGTAGATCTGCATGTAGAACATATTTAATAACCTAACAATTTTAAAGCTGGTGAATTTCATTGAATCATGGGAAATATTTGTGACATACGTATATAGATAGTGGGATAGAATGTTTTGTTTTGTATGACTGTGATTTATCTTTGCATGGCCTTCACAAACATTTAACTAATCTGAGTTGTGAAACTATAGAAATGAGAAAATTGTGGTAAAATTAGTGCCTTGCACATTGCCTCTTGGCCAAGCTAAACAGCTGTGATATCTTCTTATGTAAACCAAGCAACAAAGCGGAGAATCTCGACAGAATCGGTACACGCGGAGGAATAACACCTGTACAGAATAGAACATTAATTGCAATTTGCAACAGAATCTCGTTATTTAGGACAAATCTGCTTCCGGTACAATAAAAGTCAGGACGATGAATTATCTTGGTGATTGACTTTAATTGATACCCATTTCCAGAAGTGGCTGTTCAAAATATAAGAACTAGGAAGCTGATTTTCTTTTATATTACTAAAGTTCGTATTAACGAAAATCCGATTTACAGTTCTTTACTGTCATCGATTACATTTTTTCGCTTTAATTTCTTAGGCGAGCAAATAAAAACTTGTTCACGTCGGTTTTATTACTGTTCTGATTCAGATTTCGTGAAAACATGGATTCGCAAAATTGGAAACAATATGATTTATCATACATAGAAGCAACCATTTTAAAACAAGTTTCTTTGTCGAGCTCAACTAAGCTTAATGCTAGAAAGATGTTAGATATATAGTCTGTGCTATTAATCAGTATTATATTATATGTGTATAGCATGTTTGATTTTTGTTTATATATTTGTATATCAAAAGAAATACATTTCTCATTGAAATCCGTCTCAATTTTGTATGTAAAAGGAGGGAAGGAGGGAAGGAGGGAGAGGTGTTTTGCAGATAACCGCTTGGACGGATAGAACAAAGCAGAAAGCATTTTTTATTTATCGGATAACCTCAAAACTTGCGTTAAATGATCTTAATCCTAGCGGGCCTCATCTTGGGGGCAATCACAATCACCAGCAAAACAAAAAGCTTCGCTGTTCGTACGACAGGATATCATTCCTAGGGCTGTCACAATATATCGAAAAACAGGTATATCGCAATACACGGGTATATTGTATTGTACCACAATACAGAGATAAAATATTGCTGTTTCACAATATTTAAAAAAAAGCAAGCTGATTTTTATGTATCTCATTCTGCTTGGTAATTTAACTTTGCAAGTTACTACAAATTCTAACAGATATGCCAATAAGCATGAAACAGGCTTTAAATAGTGGTGGGAATTAGTTCAAATTTTGTAATTGATGGTTGGTTTGACAACAAGAGATCCCAGAGGGATCTTGGCGCCCACCTTTGTACCATTTTCATTAGTTCTTTGTCAGTTCGATCTTTTCTCTTCTTTCCTCTAATCTGTTTGATCTAGTCATGTTAACAGTAAATGCACCTTGAGGTAACTTTTGATCTAAACCTAATACTGATGTGTATGAAAGCCAACCTTCAAAGTGAGTTTGTCATTTCACATATTTACTAGTACAGTACTTAAATTAAGTGAAAGAAATAGAATCGATCATTGCAATAGGAGAAAAATCTGTTTAGTTCTTCTTTTAATCCATTTTGTTTTTATGATCAGTCTCAAAATATAACATGCACAACGAGAGATCAAGGGGAACCTACATATAAAATTTGAGAAAGATCCCTCCCGTACTTCCCGAGAAATAGCGATAACAAACTTTCACAATCAAAATCCAAGACGGCTGCCTGTCGGCAATGTTGTTTATCGGATCAGTCTCAAAAACTGCACTGCACAGCTAAGGACCAAGGGGAACCTACATATAAAATTTGAGAAAGATCCCTCTAGTACTTCTTGAGAAATAGCGAAAACAAATTTTAACTATCAAAATCCAAGATGGCTGCCTGTCGGCCATGTTGTTTATCCGATCAGTCTCAAAAGTTACCCTGCACAGCTAAGGACCAAGGGGAACCTACATATAAAATTTGAGAAAGGTCCCTCTGGTACTTCTTGAGAAATAGCGATAACAAACTTTCACTATCAAAAACCAAGATGGCTGCCTGTCGGCCATGTTGTTTATCCGATCAGTCTCAAAAATTTCCCTGTACAGCTAAGGACCAAGGGGAACCTACATATAAAATTTGAGAAAGGTCCCTCTAGTACTTCTTGAGAAATAGCGATAACAAACTTTCACTATCAAAATCCAAGATGGCTGCCTGTCGGCCATGTTGTTTATCCGGTCAGTCTCAAAAATTTCCCTGCACAGCTAAGGACCAAGGGGAACCTACATATAAAATTTGAGAAAGGTCCCTCTAGTACTTCTTGAGAAATAGCAATAACAAACTTTCACTATCAAAATCCAAGATGGCTGCCTGTGTGCCATGTTGTTTATCCGATCAGTCTCGAAAGTTTCCCTGCACAGCTAAGGACCAAGGGGAACCTGCATATAAAATTTGAGAAAGATCCCTCTGGTACTTCTTGAGAAATACCGATAACAAGAATTGTTTACGGACGGACGACGGACCACGGACGCAGGGTGATTTGAGGCTAAAAAGTGACCAATCACTAGGCCGATACTTGTCCTTCGAAGATTACAGAGGAGCAATGCCCGACCTCAAAGCCAGTAAGTTTTACCGTTACGCGACCGCAAGATTATTTTTATGTATATCAAAGGATCAAGCTAGTCATCTCGTCTCCTTCAATTTTGCTATGACATATTCCAGGGGTGCACAGAGCGAAAGTGAGTGTAACCCCTGGATATCGAGGATGGCGTAACCCCTGGATCCCGGAGTATCAAGGACGCCCAAGAGTCGAATCACATTCAAGGGTCTATTGAAAGCCCTGCTATGATACGTTGTGATTAGGCTATTTCGAGCAGTCAACAGAATTTCGGAAATTGTATTTTGAAAAGTACAGAGGTCCACATATTTGATGATTATCACTTGGACAGACAGGTGACATTAAAACCTATCTTGAATATTGGTGAAAAGAACAAATAACAAGAGTAACAACCATTTGATACAAAGATAATTTACTTATAGCACATATGAAGGAAAACAAAGCACTAATCAATGTAATGTCACAATGTGATTATCCTCAATCGTCATATCCGTAATACACTGGGTCCAATCTGTGTTGTAAAGGCATAATCATATATCGCCCTGGGCTTAACCAATGTCGCCCCACAGACTCTCTCTCTACAACCTTTTATACATCTATAAACAGCACTAGTACTTATAAACCGGTCTTGTTCTTCAGTGTTATTTATATATTTGACCTTTGACCAGCTACATCAATGATCAGTAAACTTGACCTTTGACATTTTAATGAAATAACATGTCCTGCATTCGGTTTTTTGACAAGACCTCATCGCCCCATTCCCCTCCTCACTAATTTTGGAGGTATTACGTAAAAAGACGAATATTCTATGTGATAAATCAACCCACTTGGACTTTGTTACGGGTGAATAGTATTATACACTATCCTATTATTTAATGATTACACCAGTTCTCTTCAATATCATGCTTTCTTATGAATATGCCATGCTAGGAGATGTCAAGCATTGAATATCCATGCCCTCGAAATGTAGGAACTAATTAGTCCTGTTATGAATCGTCAGCACTCCCTTACCATGTCAAAAGTGTTGAATATTCGTAAGATGTTGCATCCTAGATAGCTACAACAACAAGAACTGTATTAATAAATGTTGAATATGAAAAAAAAATGCATCATAGATCACTACATATAGTACTAGTGGAAACCACTGTTGAATATTCGTGATCTGTTGCATAATTGATTAGGTGATAATAGCTATTGAATATTCATATTCCTTTCCTCGTGTACTAAACCACCGTGATAGGTAGTGAGTAGTACGTACCTATCACACTATTCCCCAGTATAACTTATTTTCTGTTATCATTCACGCCCTCTCCACAAAAGGATTCCTAATCACACAGCCCATAATCAAAATAATACAGAACTCTTCAGTAAATGAAAGAAAAAATATTCATCTTTCAAATAATTGTCTAGTCAAGATTTTTTTACCTTACATGAAATTTTACATGCAGCTATTGGGGTCAAGTCTACCACACCGACTACTGTGAAATCAGATATTTTTGTGGGGGCCTAAATTTCGTGGTTTTTCACAACAAAACACCATTTTGTGGATACATGAATTCATGGATTACGAGTACCCACTCAAACGGAGAATTGCTTTAACAAACTTTAAATTACTTAGTGGACTTATAAATTGTGTAATGAAGATAACCCATGAAATCAACGAAATTAAAAAACCCATGGAAATTAGGAATTTCACAGTGTTTCATGATAGTCACATTCAGAACATTAACACTACATACTTGTATCTGTACTGTTTTTGCCCCACTAACCTTCAATTTTGCCATTGTTTGCTCCATGTTGCATTCACTATCCCGCTTCTGTTCAATTTAGTAAAACCTGGTTATACTGCAACTATATAGCCAAATAAAGGGGTTTAGATATATATACCATAGGATATGCATAAAGGATTTTTTAAGAAAAAGGAAAAGTGGCCCTTAAATTAGACTGGCAGTAAGCAAGGTGGTTAATTGAACCAGAGGTATTTTATCAACTTTTGAATGAATATAAATTTAAGGAGAGGCATTATATCAAGGTTTTACTGTAAATAAATAAGGAGCATTATAACGGCAAGGTTTTACTGTCTATAAACCAGAGACATAATAACAAGGTTTTACTGTATATAAAAGAGGGCATTATATCAAGGTTTTACAGTCTATAAACCAGAGGCATTATGACAAGGTTTTACTGTATATAAAAGAGGGCATTATATCCAGGTTTTACTGCATATAAAGGAAGGGCATATACATTATATCAAGGGTTTACTTTAAAAAAAGAAAAAGAAAAGGTTGACCGACCTTATGTTAAATTCTACCTGTTGTTCAACAGCAAAATGGCAAAATGAAAATTGGGGCAAAACTTCGATGATTTAGAGTATAAAAGTAATCTTTCAGAGCTGAATTTACAGTCGTTGAAAATCTTGAGGAAACACGGTAACTATCTGACCACTCAAAATGGGTGAAGAAAAATGTATGAGTTCAAAAATGACAGCACATTCCAAATGTTGCAGGTGAATCACATGAACATATTAACAAAACCATGAGTCACCTGATACTTGATAAATAGGAGTTTACATCATCCTTCACAAAACCTCAGTCTTACATGAATAAGAAAAATGTATATCCAGGCAGCTAATACTACAGTAAGACCAAAACATTTGATCTCTGCATCAAGTCTGAATCAAAGCTTACATGACAACATCTTTAGGTGGCTTCTGTCTGTATTATGGGTATATATAAAGTTTGATTCAAACTCTGACAGAGAGGTATAAAATAACAATAATACGTTCAATGACTTCTTGTTATTTCTTGAGTAAAATGGCAAAAGAAAACTAATCAATTTTACAGGTATAACGCAAAAAAACCCAGATAGGTATACTTTTTACTTTAAAATGTTAAAAAAACAAAAACATTATTTAAAGAGCAACACTAACCTAATTTGGACTATAAATTCAACAATCAAACATTTACATAAATTTAAGTGTATATGCTACCTTACACATATTAGTCACTTGTGTTCAGAGTTATCTCCTCCTTATAAAAATACCATGATTCTATATTAAATTTAAACATTACTTGAGTGTTATCAATGCAATTCTTTAAGTTATGAACCTTTTAAACACCAAGTCCACTTTCTGTAGAACGCTTTAAGATTGGAGATACAAATCAAGAAGGTAGCATACATCCCTAAATGCAGCTCAATTAGAGAGATGAGAAAGTATTATCAAAGGTAGGTAACTATAGAAAATGTGGATGAATCAAAAACATTTTTATATCGTTATAATACAATTAATATGGTATCAATGGCTAGGCCTCACACGGTTGACACAAATATTGCATGGCTTTGGGAACAAGTTTTAAATTAATACTAAGGTGCACAAGGTGATGATTACATATCTTATCAACCTATATAATTATACTGATATTCCACCCAATCAAATTCTTCCTCTGATATCCTACATGTTGTATGTATTGATGACAATACAATATAAATGCATCTATAAATCGATACACAAGGTCCCCCAGTCCGGAAAAAATTCAGACTGAAGTCCAAATGACATTATCTCCAATTTTTCAGTGCTGTATCAAAGGTGATTTAAACATTACATGTAGATGGTATTGTAAATATGATCTTTCTGACAAAAAATTGGCATATATCATTAAATGCAAGTAGATATACTATTGTAATATCAATGACTCTGTGAAAATACTACTGTCCTAGTTTTAAATGAAATTTACATCAGTCAAATATTACATGTACAAAATGTAAATTCAGCCTGTTAAATATTTCAAATAGAAACACATATTTAAATGATTTAACAAAATTAGTCAAAATCATCAAATGAATAACAGTCTGCCTTCATCGGAACAGAACAAATATTGAGACTAAAAAGTTACATATTTACTCGTGTCATTTAAACCTGAAAAATCTTTCAGATTTGATACAAAACTGAATATAAGAAATGCCTCAAACTTGAAAGTCAAAAAATAGTTGCAGAAACAGCAACAGAGTTCTTCCCTGAAAAAATTAGATTACTCGAGAAATGCAGCACAAGAATATAAAACCTAACTTGACAAATATGTACCCAGTAAAACCTGTCTAATCCGACACCACATGGGTGATAATATACTGGGCAAATTAATCAGGGTGTCAGAATGCAAAGGTCTTGATTGGTAAGATTCATTAGAAATGAGATTTCAGCATTATCTTGGATGACAGAATATTCAGGGGTCAGATTAGACAGGTTTCCTAATACATTTACAGTAAAACACAGTTAACTCCAACGTGGATGAGTATAAAACCCTGTGTAGTAATTCCCTTATATAAACTTAGATGAATCTATGTGCGGCCAGCTTCAGTCGTTATAGTTGTTTGATGGAGATACTTGAACACTAATGACTAGAATACGTCTAACAGAAACAGATGATGAGTTCCCCGCCACCTAGTCTTTAACCCTTACGTCACTCTGTAGCTTTAGTAGACTGTACCATGCATTGATATAGATGAGCCCATTATGGTTTACAGTGTTGAAAGGGTTAATATTTTCCGTGCAAATACTTCACATCCACACCTGCATTTTTGCGATTTTTCCATATTATTCTTGATAAATGTATTCAAATTGAATAATGTTTCTTTAAACAGATATTTATCACAAAAATGTATTTTTCACATACAAGTCCTACAGATTGAACAGACATTTCAATTTTGATTCATTCGACTTTTATCCACACATTTTGAGTTTAACAGGCTTCACCGTAACAAATATTCACAGGTCAGCTTGTACATTGTACCCTAACGTTCCTCCCTCTCACCACAGAATCCCAACGTCTACAAAGTATCACATGTTAATACCATTTTGTCCTGCCAAAGCTGTCCACAATTCGCACTACATTTTAATATATACCTCCACATACTGCAAACGTTGTACTGAACCACACACATGTCACATATCAATAGTAATGTGTACTGCATACCTCTTGCTATTAAGTTCAGTATACATTTCTCTACACAAGAGACTTGTCAATTACAAAAGGCAAATCCATGAAGAATGGAGACAAAATATCGTTAACATTTCAATATTGTGACCATCGCTGTTGACATCCACGCTACTTTGGAGGTTGTGTAAATAGTTTCACTTTGTCTTCCACAACAGCGACAAGTTTCTTGTTAAGTAGTCGGTCAAAATGATCGTTAATGCTCGTGTGGTGGTACCTGGGATGTACCAGAGATTCTGCCGGCACCACAGCCAATATACCAGCAAAGTCGTGGACAAACTGGCACCTGTGAATAAACAAGTCAATGTCAGCACTGTGGTCATATTTCATTCCTGATTTAATTCATATCTGTATCATTATTATTTCAACATATTCACACACATTTCTCGTTCATCCAGCCACAACATCCACCACTTGGACTGTCCGAAATCTTTAATTGATGATTTTGGAAGACATTTTACAAGAGCACCACAAATGGTGCAAAATATGCCCATTGTTACTTTTTATTTCAAAAACAAGAAGAAATGTGGATCAGGATGGGACTGAACAGAAAAGCAATGGTAATGGATTATGCTACATGCACCCTGCCTCTACATTAAATGACAGGACATAAAAAGACTATCAATTTTTTTCCTACTTTCCCATATGGATTCCCTTAGATTTTGAAATATCATCCGAACAAACTTTAAGGGTTTAATAATAATAAAAATAAAATAAAAAAATATCAGTGGATTTTTTACCCCTCCACAAATTGAAGTCGGACAAGACACCATGAAGCAGTACTCACCATATACTCTGTAGCTGGTTATCCAGGTCTAGAGGAGACGATTTGACGTAGAGGGTTTCGCCTCGGTGTAGGAGACTGCTGATCACAGAACTGCCAAACTGTAACACAACACATACCAACTTGATGAGGAAACCAATATGAACAATAAGGCCCAAAAGACCTGTATCTGGAGGCACGGTAGTCTAGCGGTAGTGCGCTCATGACTGAAGGGTTGCAGGTTCGAGGCACTGTGTTGTATCTTTAAGCAAGATACTTTACTCCATTTGTTCCAGTCTACTCAGCTGTAAATGAGTACGTGGTTGGGCAGTGCTAAAATTGTTGAATGCTAGCTTAGAGTGCCGAAATGGCCGCACCGGCTGTATGCTCCCCAGGGAGTTGAGAAAGATATTGGCTGGTTGCAAAGGCCCTTTAACCACAGATAATAATTTGTGAACCGCTTTGAGACGACCTACGAACTAGGTTGTGATAGAGCGGTATATAAGAACCTCAAATTACCCGGTATTATTATTATTATCATTTGCCAGTTACTGAATGCTGATGCCTCTGTGACTTTCTAAGTGATTTTTGTCCAATTTATTAAACAAAGAAATAAAATCTACTTCAAATTTATATTAAATTACTGTATTTAACAAATTTCAGTTTAAAGTAAGGGCCAAGTATCATTAGCATACACTTGTTGGATCTGCCTTAGAAAACTTTTACATACTTTGAACAAACTTTGGAATCATAGAAAACCTGAAAGTAGTAGCGAATTTGAATAGTTCAACACATTTGACCCCTATAACATAGAAAGAGAATAAAGGTCATTTGACAAGGTCAACTGACAGATGATGGTTGTTTTTGTAAAAATTAAGTGATTTACAGTGACTAAATAGTGAAATAAAGAGACAAACCACTTACTTTGTTTTGAATCGCTACAGCCACAGATTTGGACTGGTTGTTGCTGGACTCCATTTGTAGCTCCTTGGAGAACTTGACCAAAGAGTCCAGATCACAGATGTCGAGTACTTGTGTGACCGTGTCATGTAGAACCATCAGGCCCTGATCAAACACAGAAGCAGAGAAATCAAACAGTTATATCATCCCCTTAAGGATAGACAAGTCACTGCCTTACTAAAACATCTCCTTTGCCAAAAGGTTACACTTTGATAAACTGTAAAATATCTCAAAAACTCAAATAGTACTTCCAGTTTGGTCAACTTATATAAACATATGTATAATGTACAACTCATTTGATAAACCTGTAATTTACATATGTAAATCATTTTTCCTTTGTACAAAATTTGAACATTCTGATATGTTATTTTTGTCTTTTACACATCAAGAATTATGTTGGGATTTTTCTCCATTCATAACATGAGGGTATACAACACGGAAAGGAGAGCAGATTTGTTGACAGAAAGGGGTAGCGACATCAGAAGGGGATTCATTGTCTGATGGAATACAGACTGAGGTAAGTTGGGAGGGAATGCAATGTAAGGGCGGATAAAAGCAAGCAGTGTAGATTTTACGCCCAGGAGAGGGTCGACAATCTTACCTCCTCCTTCTGATCCCTCTTGATGAGTGCTTGGAGATTTCTCAGGAGAAACAAGACCAAACCTTCTGACAAGTCCTGTTAATAAAGAAGGCTGTTCATCAGCGCAAAATCAAACAATAATTTTATTATTCTATTTTACTATCTCTGTGATCACTATATATGTATAGATGGTTTTTCTTTTATCTCTGGGCAACTGATTAAATTTCTGTTGATCAGTCCTGAAATAAACCTTTCAACTGAAAATGCTGTTATAAATTACAGAAAAAACACAAAGAAATATTGAGCTGAAATAATTCCAAAAAGTGTTCTTTTCAATCTGTCATGATGTCAAATTTCAACTGTGATGAAAGTTTCAGATTTTTTCCCCCACATGACATCTTGACAGAAATGAAAACCATAGAAGTCATGACCTTGCTCCTGCAAAATTGGCTGTCTACTATTTGGTAAACTAAATACACCACAAAAACGAAATAAATGTTCTTTGTTGTTGTCAGCATAAATAGAAGGATTGAAGTGCATGCTCTCTTTACTAGTCCTTGCCAAGTGTTTACCTTGTCTAACAAAGGAAGAACTCGGGCGACCAATTTCCTCCCCTTCCTCAATGACATCACAGACAAGAAATGCTCGGAACTGTTTTCGTGAGTAAGATAGCTATGTAGGCTGTGCAGGAGTTCTATCCTTTCAGTGGCCAGAGGTATCCTTAAACAGGTGGGAAAGAAAACATCAGGCATACAATCTTTACAAGTGTTTTAGTAAAAAGACTCCAAACTGATTAATCAAATAGTGACTCTACACCAGGCGATAAAATGTTTATATATCCTCGTTCACAGAATATGAATCAACCACTTAAGCAAACTGGGATGGTCTTATATCCCCAGGTAAAACACATTGTGATTAGTTCCAGTAAGACTTACCTGGACTCCTCTGGTAGTGCTAATACTCTCTTCTCTATATCATCCACCTCCAGCAGTAAGTCGTAACCCTACACAAACAATACACAGTAAGTCGTAACCCTACACAAACAATAAACAGTAAGTCGTTACCCTACACAAACGTTCGGGCCAGGTGAGCGAAAAATGTGAACATTTAAAGACCCCTTCACTATAGACTAGGGGCTTATAAATCACTTTTGATGCAGTAACAACACTTGCACAGCATTTTTGGCAAGAGGACAGTGCATAGAATTTGGGTAAGGGGGGATAATCCAGCAAATTAGGTAAGCTATTTGTATAATCTTAAGCCATCATTTTTCAAATATAAATGTATAAATATATCAAACTAAAGGGTTGGTACCCATGGTTATAACTACCTTTTCTATTTCCATGAGCAGCTGTCGAGACCTTCGTAACTCCTTACTGGTATTCTTGCCATCAGAGTCATCAACGGCCAGACCATGTGACCTCACATCGATGATCTGCCGGGGATTGTGGACACTGGAAGTCGTTAGACGACCTAGAGAACCTTCAAACTGAGCTGTAATAAACGAAATAACCAAAATTATATATCTACACACAGAAAAATGTTTTTTTTATCATACTTCAATTAACATTTTTAAAACAAGACAATAATTATCTTGTAGCTAGGGTTGCTGTTATACATAATGTTCCTAATGTTTTGATCAGTTGGACTTGGTTCGTTCCTTTATAAAACCTGGATAAACTTACTAGTGACCTGATATAGTTTCATAAAAAGCCATGCCAAACCATTTAATGTATTTACAAGTCTTCCAGACTTCATGAATCTTCAATTAATGTAAAGGCTCTTTGTTAGCAATCAAAGGGGAGACAACTTAGACTGTTACCCACCTGGTTTGTAGGCCCGAGTCTCCAGCTTGCCTAGAGAGGGGATGATCAGTTTTGGATCATCATCCTTGTTGTTAAGGCCGTTCTGCTGCATCTTTTGGCGTTCTAACATCTTTTTCTTCAACATATACGTCTGTCACAAGTAAAAGTGTGTTATTAAAGATGTAATTTTTTAGAAATTTGGTTGAAAAATTGGAACGAAACAAATACTTTGAAGCTAACGGACGGAGTTTAACGAATGTGGTCCGTTCCATTAATTTATAAACAGAAAAAAGAAAGGGTTTGAGTCTAATACTACAAACTCAGTGTAATAGATATTATATAAATAGGGATCGTGTCTATTGCTACAAACTTACTGTGTAGTAAAAATCATCTAAATAG